AATTCCCTCTCTATTTTGGCTGTTGATTTCTTCATTACATCTTGTTCAGATATCACAATTATTTGGATATTGTTTCTATTTATAGCATGGCTTATTTTCAGGTTTTCTTCAGCTTCTTTAATTATCTTGTTTGATTGTCTTTCATGTTCGTTGAATTATGCTTGGATATCTTCGAGGTCGCTGATATGGTTCTCCATTTCTTCCAACCTATTGGAGAGGTATCTTACCATTTTCTTTGTTTCTGTTGCATTGTCCCTTAACTCTTGTATTTACCTTCAGTATGTGGATTTTATCTTCTCTATTTTTTAATCCTTTTTCTGTATTGATTCCCTCATATCCTGTTTTACTCTAAGCAGTATTCTGAGAATTTCTTTCTGTGACGGTTCAAAGTCTGCTTCCTCTATGTAGGTCACTAGGTGCAGGTCCTCCTGAGACATTGTGATTTGTTTCTCTTGTTTTCTTGTAGTGGCTGCTGCTGTGGGTTATTGTCTGTGTGGCATTTTGGTGATACTTTGCGTGCAGCTCATACAGAGCAAGGGACAAGCCCTGTGTTTTGAGAGCTAATAATAATAAGTCAAAAAAACTACCTGGAGCCAGCTATACTGTTCAAGCTGTGTCTCTTGTCTTACTGGGGCTGGGTCTCTCCCTAAAAAACTGGTGTTACCTTTCTGGAGGAACTAGCTGCACCCTTGCTACTAGGGGGGTATGCAGGGGTTTGTCAATGGGATGATTCTAATAGGGATTAATATCTGCTGGCCACAGTGCCTTCCAGCATCCATCAACTCCAGGAGACCGCGTGGATGTCCTTGTGATACCATAAAGGAGCAGCCTATCCTGGGACTCCTCCCAGCAGGGGGTCCTCTCACATGGGAAGAGCAGACTGGTAGCACCAAGGCTTGGGCAAGTCACCGAGGGGCAAGGGAAGGATCCATCATGGGTAACAAGTCTCCAGAGTTCCAAGTACATGTTTTCAATGTTGTCTGTCTTCTGTGCTGTTCTTGTAAGTTTGCTATTAAGATACATTAAACTATGGGGAGGGGGCTATTTAAAAAAAAAGAAAAAATCAAGACAACAGTTTTCATCGTAAAGGAAACAGACTTTGATGGTTACAAAGGGGGAGAGGTAAGGCAAGGGAGGAGGAAGCAGTAGGCTAGAGAGTAGACAGGTATTGACTTGGGTGAAAGGGTAGATAGCACACTACGAGAGAAGAGAAATTAAGTGGTGGGGGTGGGGTAGGCAAGCTATTGAGGATGTTGATAAGTAGCTTAAATTGTTGAATACGAAATATTTCATTATACAAGTAGAAGTTGTTGAATTGGAGATTGTTTTGTTGTATATATTTTTGCCACAATTAAAAAGTAACTACATGAATAGCAATGAGTACAAGAAGAATAAAGTGTCCTGGAATTGATTGTGGTGATGCTTGTACAACGCGTCTTGATATGATTGAACTCTAGGGCATGTGGATGAAGTGCCAATAGACCTGTTAGAAAATAAAACTAAATGCAAATCAAAATAAATAAATAAACCCGCACCTAATTCCCAATTTAAAGATTGTCCGAAAAGAAGGTCACTTCTCCATTAAAGGAATAGTAATCATCAAGAAGAAGTGGAGCCATCCTCGCTCCTAATGAGCCTTTGGCTGTACGTCATCTAGGACAGACTTGTTTGTTCTTCTGCAAGTCCACAGTATCTTCAATATTCTTCACTGACACCACACTTCAAGTGTGTCATTCTCTCTGTCTTCCTTTTTCACTGTCCAGCTGTCATGGAGTTGTGTATCCCTACATTATGTGTTCACTTGGTTATTTGTGGCTTGGGAGTCATGTAGTGATACAATGCAGCAGTTCTTTAATGATTCCCAAAATATGATCTGATGGGATAAACCAATAAGAGGATGAAAGGCACATTCTTGATCTGTCACAGCCCAGACTCAAGGTAAAGAGAGCTTCCCTGTGGTGTGGCCTTCATCACTGTTTATCTTACAAGAGATAAAAGGAGAAAGAAGACAACAGTGATTAGAAGGACCTTCAACAAAAACCTACATTCACTGTCCATGAGTCAATCCACACTCAGGGTGACCCAAAGGGCAGGGTAGAACTCCCCCTGGGGGGTTCTAAGACTATAATTATTTAAAGGAGTAGAAAGCCCTATCTTTCTCCTGTGGAGAGGCTCGTGGTTTTAAACCATTAACCCATGGTTTGCAGCCCAACTCGTAACTATTATGCCACCAGGGCTCCCCAGAGGGACCTACGACAATGAAAAAGGAAGACATGAGAATGGAATGCTGAATTTTACCTGAGATCCCTGCACTGTGAAACGTCCAGACCCAGGGACGCTTGCTGCCCAAACACACAGAGATCTCCAAGGAATTCTGGGTGTACAGATGCTGAAATGAGGCAGCAGACCAAAGCCTTCACTCTCTGAGGCCAGCACATAGAATTGGGACTTCTGGCCTCCATTGTAAGACAAAGAAGAAGAACATATGTTCAAAAGACAAAAACCCCAAAACCCCATATGTTTAGGAAGAGGCAACTGAGTTAACATGATTGCGTCAAAAAGGTGGCTTTTGATAAGGCTTTGGAGAACAGTTCTGTTCTGACACATGTACAGTCACTATGATTCAGAACAGACTTGAGGGAAACTAGAATTCAAGGAGCCTATGAGTGGTTCCATGGCTGTCTGTTCAGCTACTAAGGGGAATATTTTACAGCCAAATCTACTCAGATGCACCTCAGAGTCAAAGCCTGGTCTCTAATTCCGAGAAGTCATCCACAGAAAACTCTTGGGGGCCCAGTTCTACTCTAACAGCTATAGGGTCGACATATACAAGACTTTGTTTTGTTTCAAAAAATATAATGGCAGGTTGATATTGGAGGATCTAGAGGGAAAGGTCAAGAAATGCCTCCTTTCATGTTATCACTGGATCCTCAACACAACGCGATACACACAGAGGGGGATGGGACCAAAGCAATACAAGTAACATGTCACCACGTATGAGCCAGGACCCAAGAGGAGAGAGTGGCTTTACTCTCTAGTAAGCACCCAAAGTCGTACATACTAGGATAACCCAGAGTTCTGCCCATGTCTATGTGCTGCCTGGGAACACACAAGGTACAGGAATGGTGGTGGCAACATGTCACAATTTTGGATCCTCATGAGCACTCCACCTTCCCTGCTCCTCTCGCAATTTCCCCGTGTAATGTTCCATTTAGTTTCTCCAAAGGAGCAAACCACCAGCCTCTCCATAGAAGAAAGATGGGCTTTTTACTCTTGTAAACTCACCTGGGGAAGTTCTATCCTGTCCTATAGGGTCACTGTGAGTGAGCTTTGACTCAACGCAGTGATTTTGGGTGTTTAGGTTCCCCCCAAGAGATGAATGCAGGTCTCCCTGTGTCTTGTACATGTCAACAGATTGCAACCAGGATAGTTTGTGGGATTCTAAAGATTCTTTAGATTCTAAAGGGAAAGGGCCTCATGGTAAGGGAATAATGGTGGGGCCTCCCTTTCAAGGCCAGTTGCCCTTGAATCCACTCTCACTCAGGGCATCCTCCCCACCCCCCGGCCTTTCATGTATCAGGAGCAGAACTGTGTTCCAACCTTTTGGTTAGCAGCTGAGCATGCTAACCATTGGCTTTCCCCACCCCCAGCCCCACCCCAGACTCTATTTGAGTCAAGATCAGTTTCCTCCTAAACTTCCAAGAGCAAACATTCATCGCCTCTGGGTGACTTCCCCAAATGGCCCTACATCAGTGGTTCTCAACCCTCCTAAGGCCGTGACCCTTTAATACAGTTCCTCCTGTTGTGGTGACCCCCTCCCCCAACTATAACATTTTCGTTGCTACTTCATAACTGTAATTTTGCTACTGTTATGAATCAGGTGACCCCTATAAAAGGGTCGCTCAACCCCCAAAGGAGTCATGACCCACAGGTTGAGAACTGCTGCTCTACATCCTTCAAGACACCCTCAGGAGCCAGAACCCCCGGGCAGAACCATGAATATGGCCAAGTTCATGCCAAGCCACATCCTTGCACCCTGACTACCAGCTGGGAGGGAAACAGCTGCGTCCACCTTCAATAGAAAGGGAAGTGGGCTCTGAGTCCTGCTGACACCCCACCCCCACCCCCCACCCAGATCATACGCCCAGCATAGAGATGGTGTTTGGTGCCAGAGAGCTAAGCATGACAACCAGCTAATGCACAATCTCCCACATAGGATCCGATTAAAAGAGGCATTCCTGTCAAGAAACCCGCACACCCAGTGGTCATGACTTCCACTGTCATCATCACTGTCATTGTCCTGGCGTCCACCCCTGGCCTGGGTGGCTCAGGAAAGCACATGGCTGATCCACAGGCAGGAAAACCGAGGGCTGACTCAGGATCCACTTGGCCTGGCCTGATCATTTGCAGACAGGTCCTATTGCCTCACAGGTCACTTGCCTCACAATTCCCTGTGTTTACTTGTAAACAGGCAACTCCCTGGCCACCCCCCAGATCTACCAGATCAGAATGTCTGCCAGAGGACCCTGAGCATGTGTACTTTTACCAGGCTTCCTTGGGGACTGGGCTGCCAGCCAGTGTTTGAGAAGCACTGGTGTAGAGGAAACCTTCAGAAGACAGGTCAGCAGGACCCTTGAAAGGGACTGTTAGGACCAACAAGCATCATTCCAGAGGGAGACCAGGAGAGGTGACGTGGCCAGTGGCAAGGGATGGGACTGTCTTGGGATGAGAACGGAGCAGGAAGTGGAGAAGACACTGGAGATCCAGCGAGTGGGTCTGAGAGACCCAGCCAAGGACAATAACCTGGTTGTGGTGAAGCATGGGGACACACTGAGTGTTTCCCAACAGGCCTGTGATGTGGGGAAGACAGGAAGGAAAGTGTCGCAAGAGCAGGGCTCTCTTCCTTGCCTTCTGCACATTTCTAAGCTCCTCCCCCTCCTCACAGTTCCCCAGGAGCTCACGGTTGCAAAGGAACAGCGAAGTCTCTCGGCCACTCAGCAAGACCACAACCATCTGTGGGGGTCTGCATCCTCTACATTTGGAGACGCCCGGAAGACAGAACGGCACACCCCAGGCAGGAAAGCATGAGGGGGACAGGACTTTTGAAGGGGCCACAGCTGCTGCTGCTGCTGCTGCTTCTGCTCTACATCTCAGGTAAGAAAAGGCAGGGAGGCTAAGGGCAACTTGTTGCTGGGCAGTCGATGCAGACTCATGGAGACCCGTGTGTCTCGGGGTAGAACTGCATTTTGTACAATCATCACGACTCTGGCCTGTCTGGATCTGATCGCCAGGCCTTTCTTCTCCGTGTTCTGTCCAGTCACCAGCCTTTCCGCTGGCAGCACAGGGTTTCACTGTTTGTGCCACACGGACTCCTGCTCAAGAGGAGATGCCTAGTGAGAGGCTGGTCTGGGTGGCACGAGGGTATGTGTGAGAGGCAGCAGGGCCAAAAGGAAGGTGAAGAACGCAGACTGGGCCACAGCAGGGGCTGGACCACGAGCTAGAAGCTGGGGGTCCCCCTACTGCACCTTGAGCATGAGAAACTTAGGTAGAGTCCTTCATGCAACCCCCATCCCCATGCAGACAGCCCAGGAAGAAGAGGCAGATTGTCCCCCCAAGGAGCACTCTGTCCCCAGCGAGGATCGGTGTGGGGAGCAGGAAAGGCCCACACCATCAAAGGAGCCAAAGAGTGTCATAGCGACAGCACTTCAGTGGAGGTGACTGCAGCGGGGCACAGAGAGGACTGTGAAGAGCCTTAGGGGTCAGAAGTCAGACCAAGGTGGATTCAAAGCCGCTTTGTGTGTAACCTTGAAACGTTTCTTTGACCGCTGTGCACCCCACTGTCCTCTTTTCCAAACAGGCAGCAAACAGTAGGTCCTTAAGAAGGCTGTCATTAGAATTAAGCTCTTGGCTCAGTATCTTGCACATAGTAAGTGCTCGGTAAATGCCATTATGATGTTGGTGGTGGTGACAAGGACACAACTGGGCATATGGTGCTCAATGGCATGGTGGGGAGGAGACTACAAAGAGATCTTTGGAGGTGGGAACTCTTCCAGTGACTCCACTCTGAGGCAGCAGTGGGGACAACTTTCAAGTTGGGGCCACCAGGCCTTCATACACAGGACAGTGTTCCAGAAAGCAAGGGGCTCCTCTGGAGAACTACAAGTAGGATTCGGAGGCTAAAGCTGAGGGAGTTCTTTCTTGGCTCTCTATCTTTGTAGGGTCTCCGTCCTACAAAGACCTAGAAAGAACACACACTATGCATTTATCACCTAGAATCGCCTAGATTCAATCCATTATAATTGTGCCTTATTTGTTTCTTATGTGTATCTCTTGGTGGTATATGCATGTCTATATGATTCTCTTGAAATTGCTCAAAGCATGTGTGGAGTGAGTAGAGGCAGGGAGGCTGGGGGAAGGAAGCAGGAGGTAGACATCCCTTTCAAAATAATTTACAGTGATCCAAATGTCTCCTAACTCTGATGGTGCTTGGACTCCCTTTGACCTGTGGTCTGGTGGCTGATGGGTGGTGGGGGGCAGAAGTGACAGGAAAAGTGTTTGATGGGTGACACCCCCTTAATCTTCATTCCAGGGTCCCAAGCAGATGACATAGGAGAGGAGCAAGAGTGCCTCACGGAAGGAGCCAACCTGACGGTGCTCTGTCCTTACAATGACAGAAAGTACGGCTCCAGTCTGAAGGCCTGGCAGCGGGTGAGAAGCCAGGGCCCGCCTGAGACGCTGGTGCGGACGACAACCAAAAGCCTAGAGGCAGAATCCGTCCGGTCTGGAAGGTTCCTGCTGGAGGATTTTCCCACGGATGCCGTCATGAAGGTCACTGTGATAGGATTCCAGAGGCAGGACGCGGGGCTGTACCAGTGTGTGATCGACCTCTCTCCTCAGGACCTCTTTGTCCTGCATCATCCCTATCGCCTGGTCTACTGCAATGGTGAGAAAAAGAAGGGGTTTTGTTGAGCTCCCCTCCTTAGGTAGAGTCAATTAATGGTGGGCCACACAATGGCCATTGGTTTTGGTTTTATATATAGGTATACCTATGCCTATACATATATAGGTGTAGTATGCACAGACACATCTACGGGTGTATATATGTACACATATAAACCCTAACAGTACAGTGATTAACTATTGTGCTGCTAATGCGAACGAAGGTCAGCAGGTGGAAAGGTTGGCTGTTCAAACTCACCATCTGTCCGTGGGAGAAAGATGAGGCTCTCTACTCCCATAAAGATGAAAACCTCTGAAACCCTATGGAACAGTTCCACTCGGACACTAGGAGTTGCAAATCAACTCAGTGCTGGTGACTTTGATTTCTATGTAAAGGACATTTGTAGTCAAAGCGAGTGGACAATTTTAATGAACAAATCATGGGAATTTTCTACAAACTCTTTGTACATACACCGCGAGGCAAAGCTAGGTCCAAAAGCATTGCTACTAGAGTTCTAGCTCCTCAGTGCTCGGGTTTATTCCTAAGAAAATGGGTTTAAGCATATTGCTGCAGCCAATGGATGGCTGCAGACAAGTTCTCTCAGTAATGCATTTTTCTTAGTCTCCTTAGAGTTCGGTCAGAGCACGGATTTTCTTAGTCTCCTTCGAGTTCGGTCAGAGCACAGATTTCTGAGGGGATCGGTTGGGATGTTCAATTCAAGGCAGAGAGATTGGGTGCAAGGATCATAGAGAAAATAAATAATATTAAGAATAAAGAAGGGATGGTGACAAAGTAGGTGGTAATCTTCACGCAGTTTCCTGAAGGACACAGCGCATTCATGAGGAAAGCATCTCAAGAAAACAGAAACGTCCTTGGGGAGAAAAAGGTCTGGCACGTTTCCCTGAGGAAACGTTTTTGCCATCACAACAATTGCCCCCTGCTCATCCTGTGCGAGTAGCAAGCACGGTCCTCTAACAACAGTACGTAATGTGTCGTGTTTCACACAGATGCATAGTCTTGGACATTTGAATGGGAAATGTGCATTTTATTTTAATGTTCCTGGGTTCTTAGTGAAGCCCCATGAAAACCAAACTCATTGCCATCAAGTCAATTATGATTTCTAGCGACCCTACAGGACGGGGTAGAACTGCCCCTGTGGATTTCCAAGACTAACTGTTTACGGGACTAGGAAGCCTCGTCTTTCTCCTGAGAAGTAGCTGATGGATTTGAACTGCTGGCCTTGCTTAACCACTTAACATTTAACCACGACATCACCAGGGCTATTACTGTGTGTGTGTGTGTGTGTATGTGTGTGTGTGAGAGAGAGAGAGAGAGAAAGGTGCCCTAGTAGCATTGAGCTGTCAGTGGGCGATGGGAGCACTTGAGGATTAGATCCGGTGTTAGGCTGGGTGACCAAAGAAACAAATCGAGTGATGCTCAGATATGTGTAAGAAAGAGCTTTATATCAAGACGTAATTGTATATCAGGAAAACGCCCTGGCCCAGTTCAACTCAAGTCCATACGTGCAACACTAGCCCATAAATCCCTCTTCAGACTCATGAAGACTCATTCAGTGATGCGGAATGCAGAAAGATCACAGGCCGGTGGGTGCAAAGCTGTGCGGATCCCACGGCAGTGGCCACATCACAGGGCTCAAAGCAACCAGGGTCAGCCAGCAGGAAGGTGAAGGCAGAGAGAGGGGGAGGGTCCCAGGACCCTTCCTATGAGAAGGCCACGCCCACAGGGAGGTACCATCAAGCTGTGACCTGAGTGAAAGGTTAAACTCCATCCCTACACTTTTATATTTTTTCAAGTTGGCATGAAATTATGTAACTACCACAGGTCCTCTAAATGGAGCTCTGGTAGTGTAGCAGGTCCCGTGTTGGGCTGCTAACCACAAGGTCCACAGTTCAAAAGCACCAGGCACTCCCTGGTGGGAGAAAGATGGGGGTTTCTACTCTCATAAGAAGTTGCAGTCTCCGAAACCCACAGGGCAGTTCTACTCTGTCCTATAGAATCGCTATGAGCCGGAATTGACTCGATGGCAGTGAGGTTGTTTTATTTGGGTTTATTATTTTATTTTCTGGAGGTCCTATAAGGAGACTTCACAGGTAATGCAAAAGGTGAACCCACTCAGCTGGTTAAAAGTTGGAGGTTCAAGTTTATCCAGAGATACCTAGAAAGCAGGGGCTAGTGATCTACTTTCCAAAAACCAGTCAGGAAAACCCTACAGAGCAGCAGCTCCATTCAGATAGCATGGGGCCACCTTGGGTGTGAATCCACTCGGTGGGCAACGGAGAACGTTAAAGACTTAGCCTGGGCCACTGAGTGGCAGACTCAGGGCATCCTTGCAGATGAAGCCACCAGGAGAGAAGGAGTAAGGAGATGCTGCGACATGAGAAGAGTGAGAATCCCATGGAAGAGAGCCAGGAGCCTTGGTGGTGCAGTGGTTAAGTGCATGCCTGCCAACCATGAGGTCAGCTATTCAAATCCCCAGGTGCTCCACGGGAGAAAGAAGTGCCGTCTACTCATGTAAAGATGATGGCGCTACGAGGTTGTCCCACTCTCTCTGATAGGGTCCCTGTGAGTCAGAATTGACTTGCAGCAGTGGGTTTTTATTTTTCACTGGGGGAAGACCAAAGTTGAAGATCATAGGCAAGGGCAAGGCCCCAACTTCGACAGGTAGGAAATTCTTCTTGGCTGCCCCTGTGGCCATAAGGCAGGCTGGTCTGCAGAGCAGTGTGTGCCCCAGACACTCTCCCTTTAGGACTCTGTAGCATCGAACTTGAGAAGCCAAGGCTTGACCTTGACTTTACAGGCCCGACAATGCTTGACCTTGACTTTACAGGCCTGACAATGCTTGCGCCTGCCCTGATATATGGCTTCATCCTGAACAAGGGTGTGGTGTTCTCAGTCCTGTTCTTCCTTCTCTGGGAAGTGGGGTCTTGGGTGAGTGGGGCCCAGAGTCAGGCTTGAGAGGACAGAGGCAATTGCTGCAGACCCTGGCATCGAGGCATGATTTCCAAGGGATGCCCCAGAACCTGTCCCCCGACTTATCCTCATTTCTGTTCTGATAAGGTCTTCGGGCAGTGTCAGGGCCAACTGCAGAGAGAGTGAGCCGGGACTGATGTTTGTCAAAATAAAAATGATACTAAACAAAAAATGATATTGAAACAATCATAGAAATGCAGTGTTTATGTAACACACAATTTGCAAGATTGATATGAGTGACCACCATTAGGAATGGGGTTTAGATTTGGGTTTGAGTTTGCCCCTCAGGGTTACATTCTACTAGAGACTCAGAACGTTCAAAAGATTTGAGACCTTCCAGAACAGAATTTATATTAAAACAATTTACCATCAGAGATTTTTTTCCCCCAAAGACCCCAATTCCTGAGGCCAAACAGTCTTTACTGAAAGACTTATTAGGCTATTGTGTGACTCAAAAGACAACTTTAGGAAGCCAATTTCTCAAGACTTATGAGGTTTTGAACTCATAAGATTCAAAAGATCTCAGGGCAATGGCCTGGGTGAACCACCCTAAGTCCACGGACCCCAGAAGTCTGGATCTCAGAAGAATTAAACTTCATTCCTCATGGGCACTGGGCTGATTTAGGCTCTAGGGATGGAATGGATCTTAGAGGCGGAAAGGGCGAAGCGTTTGTAGCTCCTTCAATCTAGGTTTGTCTTCAGAAGAAAAGGTACAAATCTAAACACGATCACATGACAGCATCCTAGCGAGAGTGGCAGAAGAAGGTGGAACAATAACAACAAAGCAGCATAAATGAGCCCAGGCTTCATGGGCAGACAGAGACGGGTGGAACCCACCAGACGGGGCAACTTCGTCAGGTCTGGAACCGAACACAACTCCCGTCATGGAATAATCAACCCTTTGCCATCCAGAGGGCAGCGTTTGCCCAAGACAGAGGGCAGAGGGTTGGGAACGGGGGAGGAATGGAAACAGGAAACCGAGGCAGGAAGTGGGATGAGTGATGTTGCAAGGAGGAGATGGCAGCAGATGAGTGGAGCCCAAACGCCCATGCGTGGTTGGTTGCAAGCCTGATGAAGTAAACCACAGGGGAAGAAAAAGAACAACAAAGTAGGCGGGGCATAGAATCGAGCCTGGGATGAATGAGCTCATGGTCAAAAGCTGTCGGTTTGCATCTCTTTCTCTTTTCTCAGGTGAGGCAGCCTTCCCAGCACAACGCAAACCCTGAGAAGAAGCCTCCTCCTTGCAGCTGATGGACACGCCACCCTACCCTGTGAGAGGCTGAATGGGGTCCCCAAAAATCTGTGCTGTGAATCCTAACCCCACTACCTGATGATGTAACAGCCACAGTCCCTAAATACCCAGCCAAGTGACCAGCCTGCGGGGGGCCCCTGCTTCTCCAAGCATCTGGATCACACTGCAAGCCATTTATTCTTGAGCATTTAGTTGGAAGAAACCAATTTTTAAAAAATAATAAAAGATACATGTGAAAATATGCTCTTCTCAGAGTTACCCAGGCTATAAATAAAAAGACAAGGAGCTAAAAAAGGATCATCCTCTCAGTGTCTAAAATCAAGCGAATGGTTGTGTTGGTCCCTAGCTTTTCAATGGATAGAAACGTGTGTCGTCTTGAAATGATGATGAACAGAACCCGAGGAAGGCAGAGGTCTGCCAGAGAAAGGAAGCGCAGAGGTTTTCCACTCAGTGAGAGCGATAGACAAGTGGGAAGATGAAAACCTTGGAGACGCAGACAAACAAGGCAAGACCCCCGCGGTCTGTCTCTCACAGGCTTCCCTGCATCGTTTTGGCAGTCAAGGAAGCAGCATCAAAGCGGGGCGGTAGCAGGAAAGAAAGACAGAATGTTTATCACTGCAGTTACACTCAAGCGAAACAAAACTCCAAATCCCTGGCAGCAAGTCAATGCCAACTCAGAGTGGTCCTAGAAGTAGCGTGTTGTTGTGTGTTGTGGGCTCGTGGCCACTCTAGAGCACAAAGCAGAACCGCCCCGAGGGTTTCCTAGGCTGCCACGATATGGGAGCAGACCACCACGTCTTTGTTCCCGTAGAGCTGCTGGTGGCTTGAAACCCCCAGTCCTTCCGTCATCAGCCACGCTTCATCAGTGCTCTGTAAAGTGTGGAAGTATAAGAATAAAGAAAGGGGGATATGATGCGTGGGATGGATGAGAATATGGAAGGATGGGAATGAGTGGAGAACGTGATAGAATTTTTCTTTCTCTGTCATTTCAGTGTTGGATGAAATCATTTTCGTTTAACCCAAAAAATATGTGTTTAGATTAATCAGCATTTAGGAATAAGCGTTAATGAGGATGCAGGATAAGTGAATGGTTCTTAACTCTGCCTCCCCTTTCCAATTTCTGGAGATCTTTTAAAACCGATGGATGGCTAGATCCGACCTCGAGAAAGTCTGATTTATCATTGGCTTGTGGTGGGGCATATGCATAAATATAAAAAGCAAAACAGAGGAAAGCCAAACAAACAGGGCAGGTAAGTCTAATGGAATTAGTTACTGCCCAGAGCCCGCCCGTGGGCGTCCTTCTTGCAGCTCTGGTACTCTAGCACCCCTACAGGTCAGACAGGAAACTGCAACCAGAGTGGGTGAGAGATTTGCTCACTTTGTCCATTGGTCGGCTTGGCCACTAGAATCCAGGGTCCCACATTACGGGGTGCCATTTGCCCCCGGTGAGAGTGGGGTGGGGAGGTATAGCTGAAGTCCATCGTAGTTCACCACAATGTCATGACGTCCCTTTATCGATTACTGTGCTGTGCAAGTGACCCCTAGGGTGAGCTGGGAGGTTGGCCACCTCCTTGAAAGCCTCCCCTTCACACTGACACCACCCCCTTTTTCTTCTGGGAGTTTCAGCACCCGACTGAAGTGGACACCGGTCTGCTTCTGTCTTCTACCCTCTCCTGTTCCTCACTGTTTCTTCCCCTTAGCCTGTGGTCCAGAGAGCAAAGGGCTCTGTGTCCAACCAGGGCCCAGGGGCCTGCAAATCACATCTGGCGACACATCCCATATTTATGGAGTTGACTCTGAGACCACACAAGGAGGCAAGGGCTGTTGATCTGAGCGAGGTGGAGGATCTCATCCTGGGCCTAGGCTGCGGCATTCTCAGAGTGGCTGTAGTGATCAAAGGCATGGTTGTCTTAATCAAGGTCTGGATTGGATTCTGGTTCGAGACACCAGAACCTGAAGGTACTTGTAAGATGACAGAATTATAGGGAAAATGTCAACCCTGGGGCCAGGCAGCATCAGGCAGGGTCAAGGGGGCAGGGGGGCCAAGGGGGCTGTTGTGCGTGGCATTGGGGATGCTGAATGTAACTCATTGTGGCAGTTAGTGTTTAGGTTAACATGCACCTGTGTGGAAGTGTCCAAACGACCAATCAGGTCACAGCCTGGTGAAGCGTCCTTGGAGCTGTGGACTTTTCTATGAGAGAGACAGAGAGCTCCTCTTCGCTTGCCTTCAGCCTTTCTGGGATTCTCTCTGCCTCCAGGGGCACCCCCATGTGGGCTGCGGGCCCTGGGAGCCAACCTCTGGGTTGGTGGCACCCTGTCATGTTCCCACTGACCTTGGACCCCTGGGACTGCACCCGCTGACCGGTGATCCCACTTCACCTTGTGTCATCTGCCTTCTCTTACGTGAGTCTGAAGCGGGTTTCAGCTAGCATTGGACTTAGGGATTTGAGTTGGACTGGCCTGGGATGCTTTCTTGAAATCAAAGCACTTCTTGATATATAGCTCCTCCGTATGTATATTTCTATATGATTGCCACTGGCTTTGTTGCTCTAGACAACCCGGCCTAACACGCCAAGGACTGTGGTCTTGATGACCCAGCTCTACTTTGTCCTCCTGGAAGCCGTTGTTGGCACCACTGGTCCACCAGCACCCTCCCTGGGGAGTCCCCTCTGTAGAGTGGGGCTTTCTCCTCCAACTAGAACTGGAGCCGTCACTGAGGAGGAAGAGGGGGAGGAGGCAGATGATTATGTTCTATTGGACTTGTCAGTCCTGAGGTAACACCAGTCAGAGCATTTCTGTTAAAACGGGTAGGGGTTTCAGACATTCTATCTCAACATACAAAGCTCACTCACTCCCATCGAGTCGATAATGACCTACAGCGACCCTCTAAGTCATAGCAGAACTGTCCCTGTGGGTTTCTGAGCATGTAAATCTTACAGGAGTAGAAAGCCTCATCAATTTCCCACAGAGTGGCTGAGGCTTTTGTACTGCTGACCTTGCAGTTAGCAGCCCAACTTGTAACCACTACTCCACCTAGCCTCAGTTAGGCTGCCCTGAGATACTGTCCATGAGGGTCAGCATCAGGGGCCCACCACCTTCTGCAGCCTCTGCCCAGCCTTCCAGTTGTCGGACTACTTCCAGATGGTGCGGGAACAGCTCGTGCTTAGGGTCTGTCCTCGGCTAGCACACACTTCCCCTCCGTTTGCCCAGTGGACGTTCTGTAAACAGAAAACAGCCTCTGCAGGGAGTAGATTTTCTCTCTTTTGATGAAACGAGAGAGAGATGAACCATCTATTCTTTTTCTTGTCCAACCACCCAGTTTCAGATTAAGTTCTCTAGAAACATCACCTCCAAATTTCTCTGCGTAATTTGTTTGCATGTGTATTTACTACCAGAGCTCACAGACTGCACACGGTGCCATTGCTGTTAGCCATCCTCAAGCTGTCCCCATCCTATGGAACTCCATGCATGTCATACCAAAACACTGGCACGTCCTGGGCGATCAGTTGTCAGTTAGATCACTGTGATCCATGGGGTTTTGTTTTTTAAGTAATCGTAGTGGCATATAATTCACACATCATATCATTCAATCGTTCAAGCCTATGGAGAAGAGTCATGCAATCCCCATAATCCATTTTTGAACATTGTCTTCTTGTACTGAGAGCTGTTAGTCCATAGAGCTTTCGTTGGCTGGTTGTAGAAGTTGATGGCCAGGCCTGTCTGCCAGATTTCCTATGGTTGTCTAAAGCAACACTTTGCAAAATGGTCCTTCTGAAAGGAAGCCATCACGGTCTGGAGGCAGAACGCGGACCAGGTGTGCGAGCGCCATGGGTGGCTGGGGTGATGGGGGAACGGGTTGTATCAGAGAGAGATGTGTAGAGTGAAGTGAAGAAGACATGATACCAACACAGGGTGACTGTCCAGAAGAGCTTGGGGAACCGCGTGAAGTCAGGCAAAGAGCCCCAGTCCTCTGTGAGGATGCCATCCTGAGGGCATGGTGCGCGGTGGGCGCTGACTGCCCAGCACGCCTCTCCTTCTTCCTTGGGAAGCAACGTCCCTGCTTCTCATGGAGGCGGGTGCCATCCTACGTGGTTCTACTGATAGAGCTGTCCACACTCACAAGGGAAGATGTGTGACCCAGATCTGGTCGATCAAGCCCCTGGCCACATGGGTTAGTTTAGGAATGAGCACATGAGCTGGCTCGAGCCAATCAGAGTCTCTGCTGAGACTGTTAGAACTATACGGAAGCGGGTTTTTTCTTGGGCTGGCTCATAGATCAGTGAGATATGAGGGTCGTGGCTTTCTGTTGTGTGGAAATGATCTGCCTGGGAATGAGGTCAAAGATGTGCTTGGTGAGAGACGGAGACAGAGAGATGACATCATCTGGCTCAGCTGTGCCCCAAAGCAGCAGCAGCAGCAACACCTTCAACTTCCCGACTGCCAAACCCAAGCTCACTGCCATCGGGTCGATACTGACCCATAGTGGCCTTAATCATCGTCCCTGCTTTTGTTTTTTCATCCGAGAGTGTCAAGAAGTGGTGCTAAACAGGGGTGGGGGGTGGATTTTGCTCAATGTCTTTCAATCAGGGTTCACACACAGGAGGGTTTGGGCTTCCACCCCAGGGACACTGAGCAATGTCTTCAGACATTTTTTATTGTCATAAGTGAGGGAGTGAAGTGCTCCTGTGAACACTGGGAAGAGACTAGAGATGCTGTGTCCTGCCATGCACATGATGACTCTGTGCAGGACGCAGGGCGCCAGCTTCACCCTGGTCCCCTCAAAGCCCGGACCCCTGACAACAAGATTGCGGGTCATTCCCTATCATTTGATGGCTACAGCTCCCTGCGGTGGGAGGTTGGAGTGGAGTCACAGCAGATGGAGGCTGCTTACGAATGTGTCGGTCTCTTACCAAAGGAGGCGGTAAGAGATTAGCACGGACCATTGGAAGAGGGATTCCTTCAAATTGGTACTAAAAAGTTATAGATACCCTCTACTGAACAGTATATATTTAGTGCTTTTAAATATCCTCTCATCTAATTCTCACACATTTATCAGGTAAATACTGTGCTCATTCCCAATTTGCAGATAGGAGACTGAAGCACAGAGAGGCTGAGTGACTTAGCCAAGGTTTCACAGTAGCAGGTGGTGGAATCAGCATTCAAACCCAGATAGCTCCAACTCCTGAATCGGCTATAAGCCTTTCAGCTGCCTTGCCTGCTTGCAATTAGTTCTGATCCCAGAATGTCTAGCAAAAGCTTTTAAGCTAATCTCCAACC